TTTTAAAATGGATGGAGTACAATTTTTCTGTCATGAAAATTGTGAAACAGTAAAATGATGCTACAACGTTGAAAAGAGTACACAATCATTTTACTCTAGGTAAACTCTGTTTTTTTTTGAGAAATTTAAAAAAATACCATTTTTCAAGTGTCACTTTACAAAAATACCACACTTTTAAAATCTTTACAAAATGCCACTTTTTCAAAATTATTTTTTCTTTATATAATTTATGTTTGGGTTAATTATGTTCTATTAGGGTTTAGTTATGAGGGTTTAAGGGATTTTAGGGGTAAAAACATTTTTTAGGGTTTAGAATTTTAAGATATAGACTTTATAAATCTATAATTAGTGGCATTTTTGCAAATAGACATCCCTAAATAGCATTCTTGCAAATGTGCACACAAAAAGTGGCATTTTTGTAATTTTCCTTTTTTTGTCACATTCTAGGTAAACTCTTTATAAGCATATACATATAAAGGAAATTTTTAACTAAAAATTGTGGATATTTATCATCATAATATAGGTTACTATTGTATCAGTATATAATGTTATGTAGTCATAACGAACCAACCAAAAGCTCCCACGTAAGCAAAATGCCATTTTATTGAATTACCACAATCTCAATTTCAGAAATAAAGGGAGAAAACAGAAATCCCGTGAGTACCTACTGATCATTCAACACGTGTTTTGTTTGTCAACATTTTCGCGCTTTTCCTTCTCAGCCGAGCCATTTAAGTCGATCCGTTTAACCCGAGCCAAACTCAGTGGGTGGTTCTTGTCGCCGAGTCACCCAGTTGGTTCGGTTCGTTTCTACTGCTTGAAAATCCGGTTTTTTCAAGAGTAATGAGTTTTTTTTTTTTCTAAAATAAAAGGCCATAAATGTTTTGACTTTTGAACAATAAATAAAAGGGCTAATTTGTTCATTAACAAAAAAAATAATAATAATTAGACAACTAATTAAAATGGGGTATGTGGCATAATTATATACACTAAATTTAAGTTAATTAGTTATATTTTTAGTTATAATTTTTTTTTGAGTTATTCCACCCAATTTCCCTAAATAAAATAACATGAATGTTTGTAAAAAGAGTTTTGGTTTTTGAATTTTGAACTGTTCAATTTTAAATTAAATGTTATTTATTTGATAATTTTTAGATATGTTTTAGTTTTCAAATTATCAGTTTTAGAATATTTTCAATTCCCCTTAAAAATATTTAATAATTTTTAGAATATTTTTACAAAGATTTTTTAATAAAATAAGATAACACAATTTTTGATTTTTCATCAAAACTATATAAATTTTAAAAACTAGGTTTTTTTATCGACTTAAAAACTAGTTTTTCTGTTCTTTTATTAGAAAACCTAAATTTCTAATGTGTTAGAAAAAACTAAATTTCTAAAATTCTAAATAGTTTTTTTA